GGATGAATTTCAGCACTTCACAAGATGGGAAGACCCTGCTGTGAGCACACAGTAAGAGGTGAAAGGGATCAGTGGGAGGATCGTCCTTTTCTTAACAGAGGCTGCACAGCAAGACCACGTGCTGCAGGAACACGTATTTGCTGGCCTTTGCCAGTAAGACTGGGAGGAGGTTAAAGCTCCTTAAGGTGTCCCATTTCTCCCTCCCAGAATACCAATGTCTACATAATAATAAAAAAAAATATCAAAAATACCCCATTTTTTTTGTTTGAGAAATTCTTTATTACAATTATTACTGTTAAGTGACGATTAACAGATCTGTTTTGGTATTACAGAAATCCATTGATACAATGCCACTGATTGATAGCTGATCCCCAGCTGACACCAGTATCAGCAGTGAAAATACTGGTCTGTTAAGTAGCATCACATGGGGAAGTCATAAAGCATTTACCAGCTGTCTTTGGATAAATGCAGGTGCCCCGTAGTGCTTGACTGTAATGTGTTACAACAACTTTTAAAATACTAATCAGAAACTACCCTGCACAGGCCTCTTCTGCTCCAGATAAATGGTGTGTTCAGCCCCCTGACACTATCTGACTTCTCTGCTGGAAGAGAAAAACCACCACGATAAACAGATTCAAGTGGAATGGTTTTCCTAGGTTTAGGTTGCCCAAGAAAGTTGTGGATGCCCCCTCCCTGGAAGTGTTCAAGGCCAGGCTGGATGAGGCTTTGAGCAACCTGATCTAGTGGAAGGTGTCCCTGCTGATGGCAGGGGGGTTGGAACTGGATGATCTTTAAGGTCCCTTCCAATCCAAACCATTCTATGACTCCTTCATGAATCCAAGGAGCTCGAACCTTCTGTCAATTTAATATTAATTAAATGCAGTGGGGTTTGTCCGTGTTAAATTAGCACAATATGAGAGACTAAAAATAGGATATACAAAGGTAGTTCGTAATATGCTAGAGCACAAATTATCAACTAGAAGTGCATCAACAGACATAGGAGGATGGAAATCTTAAGAATAAGAAACATGAGAGCACAAAAGAGGTATTTGTAAAAAAACAGGGGCATCCTCATTATTCAGGCAAGGGCTCTGTTAATTTCTATAAATGTCCAATGCAATTTAAAAACCAAACCAAACAACAAAACAACCCTCTGGAAAAGGCAAACACTGTTACTCCTTGAACAGAAAAGGAAATGAGCCACAGATAGACTGGCAATAATTTCCAAGCCTTACTATAAGCCCCGTGATAAAACTGGACAAATATCAGACAAAAGGAGGCTGTCCTGTATCTTAACAAAATGGTATTTATGATTTCCTTTTCACAAGAAAATTGAAAGAGTTCAGAAACTGACAGAAAGGTAGGATCTTTTTGAAGCCAAGGTTGACCTGACTGTTCAGAGAACAGAAATACTTTGACCACTCAAGTAAAGATCAGAAATCTTGTTGCAGTTTGTGTCATAACAGACTTAAAGATGGAACTTAAAAAAAATGTGTACTTCACCTAGTAACAAGTGCAGCAATAAAGCTAAAGACAAACTAATAGAAGCTGCAAAAGAAATGGGAACTGTGAACTTCCCTGCTAGCAAGTGATGTGTTTGAAGAGCACAACTGTGCAGCAGACAGCGGTGAGGCCGGCCATAGCCATGGTGCTACAGGAACCCACTGCGCCCTCACGCATCGACCTTAGCAATAGTAATAATGACAGCACCTGCAATTCGCATCTTTTTTTAAACGAACGCTGACAGCGCTCACATCTCTAATTCGTAAGATTTAGTAGTTGGTAAGGATGTTTTGTTATAAATTCAATCACCAGCATTTATTCATTTACTGCACAGGGTACTGCTCTTGGGTCTTCTGGGCCCTGGTTCTAGCAATTTAAATAACTTTCCTACATTGGTTGATGAAGTTAGGCCCTCAAAAACAGGGGAGGGACCTTTACTCTTCTAAGCAGAATTCTGATTTTTTTTTTTTTTTTTTTTTTTTTAGTATACAGTACACATTAAGATAATCTTTAAAAATAAAATAATCAAGATATTCATTTCAGTATTTTATTACATAAAAAGTTGATTGTCCATTGGTAATTTTTCACATAGTGCAAGCACATCTTGTGTAGTATCATTGACAAACTGTTTTTTCTGAGAAGGACAGCTGGATTAAAAACAAAATGATAACTTAGCAAACTTAGTAATGGCACTAGAACAGAGAAAATAACATAAACTGTGTGGAGAAAGGCAGCAGACATCTAGCTGTCATGAAAGCAGACGTTTTTCCACGTACCTCTGTCTAGTACTGAAAAAATAAGGAAATAGCAAAAGCTGTAATCACCACCCTACTTGTTGAAATCAGTTTTGAAGGTTGTATCTGAATTGCCTGCATGTAGAACCAAAATCTTTTACTGGAAGTCTGATGAGACCCAAATGCACACCACCTATAAAGCAGAATCCAGCTAGAACACTAATGACCCTAAATAACTTCTTGAAGATATTAATTCATATGCATATATAACTGATCTGGCGTTTGGGCCTCTTCAGTCATTACAAAACAAGATCTGCTTATGTAACATTGCACCAGGACGAGTGCTGGGGTCTCAAGGACTTCCTAGTTTCAAAAGGGAACAGAAGTTGTTTTGGAGTAGAGCTATGGACCAGAGAAAGACTGGCTGCTGAAGAAGTTCACTCCAAACTGACACATTATATTTACTAGCATATTTAATTATTTCTTGAGTGTAAAGCATGAAAAATGGAGAAGACAAACAGAAGACAAAAAAAGCTACTTGAAGGCAGTATTTTGTATTGTATATAAAAAAGCAACCCTTAAGTCATTATGCCTATTAAAAACATAAAAAAACCCAGCAAACACTTTAAAATTTAAATAAGCCATGTGGCACACTCCTAACTCTAAATGGAGAAGACTTAGCCTACCATAAATGAATGTAGATTTATGAAAAACTAAAACAAGTATCTCTTCTCAGAAGTTGGGCTAGAGCTATAGTGTAGTAATTGTTCCTCCTCCTTGGCCAGTTTGCCTTTGTATTATCTGTATACTGTTTTATTGAGCTCGGGACGAACCCAGTCTGATCAAAAGAGAAATAATGTTTACATTTCATAACATGATAAAAACTACAGACATTGCATTTCCACATGTTTCTGATCATAATCCAAATTGTCATCTCTGTATCACGGCTTTAAGTTGTAAAAATAAAAAACTCATTAGTATTTCATGTTTATAGTTTCATCTGACCTCTGTCCACCTCTTGAGATGAGAAGCAATATTCTTTAAAAAAAAAAAAAAAAAAAAAAGGTGTAAAGCAAGAACACTTGACAAAATGATAAATTAGTTATGAAGAAGAAATGGACTGCACATCTGACCCCAATTCAATGCAATATCCAAGTATCTACAGAGACTCTTCTCAGCTCCGCCATGCATTTGGATTAATAATAGATTATAAAAGTGATACAGTTAAACCTGATGAAATACATGACTTTCATTCTTCTACTCAGACAACCAGGCAAAGATCTTTTTAATGAAGTATGGCAGGAAGGGTTTCTTTAACTCTAAATTCATACAAATATAATTAAAATAAACACAGTCACTTCTAACCTTCATCAACATCATTTTGTCCTTATGTACAGAAACTAAAAATGAGTTAGTCTGTCTCCCAAATATCTAACTAATGCACAATTATTTAAAAGATTTTATTACTCAGTGAAACAGTAAGTTTAGTGACATCTTTTATTTTAGAACAAGCACTCAGTAAGTCACAGTTTCCCACTTTTGATGCTGAAGTATTCCACAAGATCAACCATTATGGTTCAATTAGGACCTTTTATCCAAAACACTTGGATTTTAGCACCTTAAATGACAAGTCAAAGTAACATCTTAGTAGTATTGAATGAAGACAGTTAACACTGTTCTCATCCTCTGGAAAATTATGTGGACCATACATACTAGGTGCATTTAGTCCCTAACACATAGTAAGGCAGAAGGGAAACAATTCCAAGCGATGCATTTGACTGAATACAATCTGAATAATAATAAAACTTCCCTAATTATACAAAGTCTCCTAGGGTGAAACGGAATTTGCTTCCATACATCAAGCCTCATAGTATTTAAGTCAAATGTTTATTTACAATCAATCTTGTCAGTCAGGAATCTGTACCCAAAAAAAACCACAAAACAACAACCGCCAAAAATCTGGTTATTAAAAATCAGTAAGTGATATGTCTAACTCAAAGTTTAACTCTTGACTGTAACTAGTGCTTCTTCAGAGATTTAAACAAACCCTTAAACTAGTAAAACAAATTAATTTCAGAGTTAAAGCTATTTCTTGTAGCTCACTGTCTAGATAATGGGGCATACATAACATCTGTTTCCACAGGCACAGTTCTTTGGCAGCAGTAGCAACCTGAATGCCTTGAATCTGACTTTTCCTTTCACCCCAACACTGCTCATGCAGGTCCTGTAAGTCCATTAACATCCCAGCATCACTTCTGATCTGTACAGAATCTCCTTTCTACACTGATCTGGAGTGCATTAGCCAAATATCTGCCTAGCTTTACCATGCTTCTAAGCACTTCCATGGATTTCTGGGGACAGACAGAAGGGGTATTGCTTATTTTAAAGAAACAGGCAATCTAACCAGATATTTTCCAAACCTTGTAACTTCAGGCATCTTTGGCCATTTTAACACTATTCTTTGCAGTTTTAGGAAGTTTTGCCAACTGAGTCTAGCAAACTGGCTTCCAAGAGAATCTTTTAGCACTGTACTCTGCTACCTAACAGCAGCTGTGAATCAATGACCAACTTGCATACCCAAGATGGATGCAGCTACTACAGACGAACATTTGTGTATTCTGAGGCTGCATTTCTTCTTTTGCACTTAAATTAAATTTGTGATGTCAGACACACAGATTTGTATGTTAATTTTAAACAACAACAAAAGCATAAAAAAAATTACAAACTAAACTAGGCAATTGCTGGTATTAAACATTACCTTTCCTGTAACTAAACAAATGGCCAACATTAATAAGTAAACTGGTGAATTTCAACATAGGAGTCTTTAAACCCCAGCAATCTCTGCTTCCTTCCTTCCTCCCCCCTCCCCAGTAAAGCCAGGAATTATACAGTAATTAGTTTCCCTTCAAGGAACAGCAGAGCAGTATTCAGTCTGGTTAACGCGACTGTCATAGATCCTCTCTCTGTTTGGTTGCTCGATTGTCTTCTTTGATGCTATTTGATTTCTTTTCTGTATCTTTTTTCTTCTTTGCTTTTTCAGGTTTTGTTTTGTTTTTCACTTTCTCACTTTCGTCTGCTCCTTTGCCAGGATAAACCTGACCTTCCAGCGTAACATCCGCGCACCTTTCCTGATTTATCAGAAAGTCTTTGATCTCCCAGGCATAACCGCCATCACGTAGCATAAAGATGGCACGATTTGAGCCAACAATAAACCTAGAGGAAAGATGGAAGTTAGCTCCATGCCTTTCAAGCACTACAACATTTTGCTTAATTCAGAGCACCTCCACAACTGAGGAATACATTTAAAAGCAAGAAGTTGGTCTTCTTGTTGCCTGGGGATGAGGACAAGAGAATAATTCTCTAGCACAAGTAATAGTAAAATGTATTCAGTTTACAAATAACCAAGGAGGAGTAAGAATATAAAAGAAAACTTAGGAACTAATTTGGCACTATGTAAGATCCACTAATAGGCATTAAATTTGCTTTATACACTTACTGCAACCCTTCTCAGCCTCAATTAGAGTGCAACATTCCTCTGTTTCAAAATGACCCACCCTCTCCAAGAGAATAGTCACATTTTTTTTAGTCAGGGCATATAAACTGATAAAAAACCCAAGAAATAGTGATGGTCGATGGAGAAGGGCACAGAATGAAGAGTTGAAAAGATTTCCAGGAAAAAGAAACACGGGTTCTGTAAAAGCAAGAACTTTATCTTTGCGTACAGCAGCCTACCTTTGCACATCGTAGTTTGCATTGAAGAGACTGCCCTGCCACAAGCTAGTAATTTCTTCCGTCTCCTTTTCTGTGGGATTTCCGGACACTGTGACAAACATCATCAAAGTCTTCCCCTTTTTCGTCAGCTTCAGGATGCTTTCGGGCTTGCCTGGATCAATTTTTGAGAAATCTATTGGTGCTGGAGGCCTCTTGTGCTCAGGAAGATCCCCCTCTTCAATGTCATCATCTTTCTGTTTTGGAAAGGAAAAGGAGGCTTTAAACTCAACTGATCCACAAAGCTGCTCTTTTTTGAAATTTCCCATTGTTCAGAGAATAACTCTGCTTAAAGTATTTTTTAGTTTAATGATGGAGATTCTCAATCCAAAAGAAACGGTGAGTTTTGTTTCATGATACTTCATCAAGAGTGCCCTTTCCATTTATAACCCTCCCCTCAAAACGATGCACATTTTCATACTGATAGCTAGAATCTCATTTTACCAGGTACTGACAAATATTTCAGCCCCAAGACTAATTCAATACAACTCTACCTAAGTACTTCACAAAACAACACTTTTTTCCTTCACAGTTTCACATAAATTTATTAAGTATACAAGATGAACTGAGAAAGTCGCACTAAAAAGCCTCATACACACATAATAAAAAAACTCATTCATGTGCATATTGCCTTCAGAGGTCAAAACTCACTTCTGGGAATCATGCGATCACTTGAGAATTTAATTTTCCTTACATTGTGTCCTTACACAAATAAAAACACAAGAATTTAGAATTTCAATGCTCATGCCACAGGAAAACTTTTATTAAAGATTTAATGACTTTTCTAACACACAGTCACAGCTCACAGTCTGACAACACAATCACCAAGAGTAAATCACTCTTAGAAAACCGAAAAAAAACCCCACTATGGCTCTGCTGAGGTTGACAAGCATTTAAATATTTGGAAAGGCAGAATTCAAACTGCTGCCCCTTAAAACAGCTCCCAACAGAGAGGGGTGAATATAGTGACAACTTACACTGAGCCAGAACTTGATTTCTTAACCAGTATTTGTATCACAGAATTAAAAAACCAACCAACCAAACAAAAACCAACCAACAAAAAAAAAAAAAAAAAAAAACCAAAAAAAAACCAGAAAAAAAAAAAAAAAAAAAAAAAAAAAAGTAGAAAAAGTAAAAATCCTATTCTAATAGACTAGAGTGTTTATCATACAGTAGTCCTCAGGAAAGAATGTAATGATTATAGGAATTAAGGCAGATATTTTAGCTGTTGTTTTGACTTCAAGCATTCAGTGAAAATACGCATCACTAAATCATCACCACATCATTAGGAACATGAACTGTAGCAGTATCTAAAGATATTCCCTTCAGAAGCCCCAAAGGTCAGGAGCTCAGCTTGATTTTTAGATCTAAGAATGCATGACCTTCTCATCTCTGCACACGTATATATACACAAACACAACATCCTTACAACATCCCACTACAGGGAGTGCCCCGTACCCCTTAAAGGTTAAGGTTTCATACAAGTGACCTATGCTCTTTTGCCATCTCAAGTACATCGAGTTTGCTGTCTTTCTGATGAGAGAGTTTAAAATTTAGTTGTTCTACAACAGAATAAAAGTTGTAGAAGCCTTAGATTTTATCCTTTCTTTCCTTACTAATTCCGTATCTGCTTCAATCTTGCAAGTCTGAAGCACACTTTCAAGTAGTTCACACACCTTTAAAAACTCCACATTAAGTGAACTGGGAGCAAAGGAGAGTCCCAGGAAAGTCCCTTTGCCCTCGTTAAGTGGGAAAAACACTTATCTTACAGGAAGCTGGAAAATGCTCATATTAGTAAAGTACAGTGAAAATACAAAATTTGACATGTTTGAATGAAAAATGTTCTTCAGAAGTAAAAGCAAATCAATCCTAAATTTAGACCAGTCTGGCTAGCACAAAACCAGTTTATTTCATAGTTTTGAAAGGGAAAGGCAGAAACAAGTGTTTCCAAATACTCCTTACACAATACAGAAATTGACTTTGGATTTAGTGACAACACAACCTACTAACATATATTACCTATTTTTCCCTTAACTATTTAATTAAATGCTCATAAAGCTGTATTCTTATAGTTTGAATATAAATATTATAAAAACTGGTCAAAAGCTCCCCTACACAACACTTCTTTTCTTGATCCTGTACAAACTAACATGGCATTTCATGTTTAAAAAGCTATCTACAAAGTAAAACGCTGGAAGAAAAGTGTAAGCTTTTGCTGTGAAATGTCTAGCAGATTCATTAATTTAAACAGGAACATGAGGCTTCAAAGGGAAAGCACTACATAGACACAGTTATAACTATAAATTCCTGAGAAACCCTGAGCTTCTAACAATAAGCAACTGTTTTACAGGATATGACATTTCAGTAACAGAAGGAACTCCAGACCAGATTCTCAGTTCTGTTTCCAGCTCCTCCGGTCTCAATGCTGCTGGCGAGTCCCTTTCCATGAGGGAAACCCCTAGGTAGCTTCCTTCAAGCTCTCGCTGTGCAACTGAGCTGGTGAAGCCACCTCTATCTCTTTTCCCCATTCCTCATGTTGATTTTCTACCAGATCGCTCTCCCAGTTCACCAGGCAGTTATGCACGTGGTTGCACCAGCACAGTGCAAGGGGCAGCGCGAGAGCCCGAACAGAGAGGTGGCTGCCTGTTCAGGAAGGCTGCTGGAGCCACGGCCTCAGCCTCGCCAGGCTTGCGGCTGACCCCAAGGATGTTAATCCACCATCCCCCAATGCTTTTAGACTAATTGTGAGGGAAATAAAAAATATTAGGAGTCATCTCACTCAGTTTGAAGTGATGACATTTGATCCTGTACAGATCTGTGTCCTGTGCCCCTCACTCCTGAGCATAATTCCTGCTCTTATCCAAATTCATAATGGCCCCTTTGTTTCGCATCCCACCCCATCAAGTCCACCCTTTCTTCTCTATCCTCCAGCCACCACCCCCTCAAGTCTTCCATGTTCCTTATATGTGTCCAGACTACCATCAGGCAAAATGCCATACAGCTGACCATTCCAAAGACCAAACAACCGTTAATTGTTGAGCCTCAGCTTCAGTAACTTTTTTCTTCCAGGGCTCTGGCTGTACGTGCATCTCCCCAGCAGCAATGCCAACCTGAGCGGCCAACTTCCCAGCTGCTCAGCCACATCTGCACCCAACATGGCTACAAGCATTTGTGCAGCACATGGTCACAGACCTGCTCCAGCTCAAAAGGAAAAAACCCGAACAGCCTCCTGATCCTGCTTGCCACATGTCTGGAACTGAATATACAGTCCAAGAGTCAAGACAGCATTAACTTAATCTCCCTTCCTAAAAGGAGAAACAGTCCACGGGATGAACAAGCCCATCACCTGCCAACCAGGTCCAAGGCAGACATCCTTACTTCCCACAGAAGTTACTTTATCTATATTACATGTAAAAAATCTACTTCTCCACCGTGACTTACAGCTGTAACTGGCGTTATAAAAGACAGAAGTTTTCACTCTATTATTTCCATCTTTTTGTGCAAAACATTCTGGGGAACAGCCTTGTGGGAAAGAATAAAAGACACTGATGAGTGCTCTGGCATTTATCAGAAGATGTCAGAAGACAGAAATAGTGAAAAGAACTGAACAGTGGCCTGACAACCACAGAGAAAAGAGTGATGGGGAACTAGCTAAGAAAGTTGGGGCAGCGAGCTGATGGGGATGAAGGGGGACAAGAGAGAGCAGGAATTACAGAAAGTGGTTACCACGAGGAGCAGCAAGGAAGGAAACACCAAACCAAGAAAACAACTACAAATCTACTCTGTAAAGGTGAAATTTGTATTTCCCCTCTGCCCCTTGGTCACAAAACTTTTATTACACCTTAACACCCCGAAACAGCAGACATTGGAGTCAAACCATGCTGTTGGCAGCGAGTGTTTGGGGCTCAGGGGGCGGCAGGGACGGCTGTGGGCACCGGGCTGAGGGCACCTCCCCCAGGAGCCCCTTCTGTGCCCGCTCCCGCCCTACTTTGTAACCTCCCTCACACGAACC